ATCCCTCTAACAATGTAAAGAACTAGTAACCGAAAAACACTTATTCAGGTCCGCTTTGGGTTGTTCAATGCTTAGAAACTTGGTTATCCAGGTAGCTGACTGTTGACCCTAAGACGATTTCTCCAGCTGCGACAATTCCTGTTTTAGGTTAAATTGTAATCTGCGAAGATAAGTTGGGTTTCGAGGAATCTCTTGTTTCATATAAGGTGAGCTTACTTCCATTTCGAGTGTAAGTGCTTAGTGAAGAGATTCGAAGGTCGACTCAACCAAAAGACGACGGCGGATGATGTTCGTCATATGACGGACTGATGCTTAGCATCTTTTCACCGGAATCGAAAGAGATTACCTCGGAAGCAGCGTCACTATGAATGTTCCAGTAAAGCTAATCGACAGCTGGTCAAGAGGAATCCACCGCCGTCTTCTGGTGGAATCGACCTTCGAATCTCTTCATCAAGCACTTTCACTCAAAATGGAAGTAAGCTTAACAAATTGTAATCTGTTATGTGGATACTAACTTTTTTATAGGAGACAGTTAGATCATGATATGGCTGCAGGTCAACAGGTTACTTTGATTTGTTGATTTTAAGAATTATTTTCCCGTCGATAGTGCTTGTCTATAGTTTACTTTAATGAGAAGACCATCGGTACCCTTTCCACTGGGTTGAAAATTGCAGGTTTGCTCCCGTTGCTGGTATTCGCAAGGTGATAATAATACTACCTATACGACCAATACAACAACAAAAATGAAACTAATACAAATCCGAATCTAAATTTACTCATACTTAAACCAAAAGAGCCAAAATAACACTCATATGGCCCTATAGAACAAGAAAAATAATCAGCAGCGTTAACAAATGAAACCTTAAAAAAGAAAGTAAACTATATTCGTATGTAAGTAGGGGTAAATACATCTCATTACACTGATTTACTGGTAGTCTCGAAGCCCTACTTACATACGAATATAGTTTACTGTCTCTTTTAAGGTTTCATTTGTTAACGCTGCTGATTATTCTTCTTGTTCTATAGGGCCATATGAGCGTTATTTTGGCTCTTTTGGTTTAAGTATGAGTAAATTTAGATTCGGATTTGTATTAGTTTCATTTTTGTTGTTGTATTGGTCGTATAGGTAGTATTATTATCACCTTGCGAATACCAGCAACGGGAGCAAGCCAGCAATTTTCAACCCAGTAGAAAAGGTACCGATGGTCTTCTCCACTCCACTCGCGCCACTGATCGAGAGGACAAAAGGTTCACTATTTCGGTAAAAAGGCTTTTGAGAATTCATCCAACAGCCGCATTCCAGGTGAGCAACGAGAAGTCCCAATGTGCTCCAACTACCCTCGCCCCCACACTCCAAAAAGGGAGTGCCGATCAGGCTCGTTGCAAGCATGCGGCGTCACAAGTTAAATTTGGCTTTATTGCAGTCGTTTACGACCTGAGTCCAGACATAAATCAAAAACTGCAACGAAGGCCAAAGTCACAGCGCCTAAAGTGATAGATCATTTGATTTTTAATATTCTTAAGAGAAAATGCTATCCGTTGTGAGAGTGAGCGAAGTAGTCAAACATGTTACTCTAAGATATAAAGAAAAACTGGGTTTCGAAGAATTCATTGATGAAATATTATGGCATAACTCTCCATTTCGAAGGGAAAGTTGGTTGGAAGGAATTCGTGATGTGGTCTCACCGGAAACCGAAGCAGGATTGCCGCGTAGGGAAGATTGCTGAATTGTGCGAAGAAGACCTCGGCTCACCGTCCTACGACCCCGATGAAACTGTGCTAAGCTTTCGTCTGTACCGCTGTGACAGACAACTTTAGAGCAAGATTCCATACTTCACGAAATAGAGCAAAAATATTTAAAGCCAAGAAAAGGTGGTCGGCTGCAAACTAACATCGCGATCTTAATTAGGCCTCGCCTGATTTGGTTGGCTAATTCAACCTTACTTTACATGCTTGCAGATTAATAAAGTTAACTTTCTGAACCAGAAACGCATTTTTGGTAGCTATTTCATCACAAAAAAGCTAGCGTACGATCGCCTAATGTTGAATAATGTTTGGCTTGTGCTATTGCCTATTGTGTGTATGTAATGCTCGTCATAGATAGTATGAGAGTGCCAGCTAGACACGAGGCTAATCCAACCTCCTCCCTTTCCTTAAGTCTTACCAACAGCCACAAAAAGTTCCTACTTACTTTTCTACACTCGTTCCTCCTATTCAGGACGTTGGCTGTTTTGTTAACTTCTATAGTCTACCTGATCTTACGCTTTGACGTGAAGTCCCCGTAACCCGCAAAATGTGTTTTGGACCAGTCTATCGAGTGTCCTGTATTGGCCATGTATTCAGCGAGCTCAGATTTTTGGACTCACCGACCTTTACAAGCAGTTTTGTGTTAGCAAGGTCGCATAGATACAGACTAAACAGGTGCCGATTAGACTGAGATGAAGTTGAAACTACAAGGAAGCCTTTTGAGAGCACTGTGAAAATATGCAATGAAATGGCATTGTTGGTAACTCTACCATCAGTCTTTACATCACCTTTTATGACCTAGGTTCATACACAAGATCTTTTGATTTTTTGAATCATACGCACTAAGACCGTCAAACAACGACACAAAGTAGACATATAAAAGTGGACAAGACCGACTGACAAACAATAAATCCTTGCTTAGGTCCAATTAGTTATCCGAATGTATGACAAATGATCTGCAGATAAAGTGTGTGCATGCATAAGCATGTTCATATGCAGCTGGCCAAATTTAAGCAACCTAATGCTTCGGTTCATTGTCATAACAGCCTAATTACTAACCATGATGCTGAACATTTGCTATTAGATTCTATATAATGGTTTGACAATCGTACAGGTGGTGCTTAGTTACAGCTACATTTTAGCACACTAAGCCTGTTAGCAAAGTTATGAGCCAAAATGCTCTCTCTTTTCCTTTATGTCTGTCCATCTATCTTTCCATGTAGCTCTATATTTATCTATCTATCCATCTATCTTTCGTTAAATCTGTCTTTAAACTTATAAAAGTCGCAAGTATGCCCTGCTCAGTTACATGTTCATAGTGTTTATTAACAAGGTCGGTTTGTCATGGTTCTGATTTATTGACAAAATTAAACATATTATTTATGATCTACTGAGTGATGCACATTCCAGCCATGATTAATCAAGGACTTGATCTAGCAATAATATTCCATACGTCAAGCATCCTCATTAGCCCTTCTCATCAAGGATGGAGTGCAGATTTGACCCCTAATGGGATTCATACCTTGGATGTGCGAGTTCGGAGGCTTGGGAGATAACCTGCGAGGCAGTTAAAAGCCTTAAGCGGTAGTGATGACAGCCAGGAGAGACAAAAACTGTAGTCCAGATTGGATGAAGGCATAGTGGATATTCATATATTTATTTTGCAAAAATATTTCATATTCCCTACCTCAAATAAGCTTAAGTTTCTTTTTTGTGTACTTAAATTGGAAAAAAATTTGTGATTCGACACCATTCCATTCCATTTTTTGTTATTAAGTAGGTTTTCTGGGCTATCAGTAAATTAGATACATGAGATGTTTTAAGCATGTTTCGTTTGAAGTGATGAAGGACTGATGATTGAATTGTTCCACAATGATACGAGCAGATCTTATTCTTCCATTGAATTTCACATACCCTTTCTTCCCAAAAGGTATTCTCATTCAGGGTGGACTGCAGTTTCGACCTCTTCTAGGTCTTATCAATAGCTCCAACGGGACTCGAATCGTGACAG